AAGTCTAACGCACGGCATTCACGGAAAACAGCTTTAGTGTTATAGTATGTAGTTTTAATTTTAAATATCTTAGCGTATGTGATATGTATTTTTATAGGCTGATGAATTGATCGTGTCTAAATAAAGATTACAATACAATACAATACAATACAATACAATACGCACAAGAGGGCAGCACATCTTTATTTTCACAGTACATTGCGACATAATGAAGTGGTGTTACACCATTGTTGTCTCTCAAATTTGCATCAGAACCAAACTTGAGTAAAAGCGCCAGGGTAGTGTAGTTAACTTTGAAAAGTAACAGACAGAAAACCTCGCACTTTTTCCCTTGGCTTTCAAAAGCACATACTATAAACATGTGGCTTTTCACAATTTAAAAACATACTTAACAAATATATTCCATGTTGCCCTAGGTCAAAAGTAGTTCAATCATTGGTCAGAAAATACATCAAAGTGTAGATGTGAACAGCAATGACAAACTCGGCTGCGGGCCGTTTGTCACTTGCCCTTCGTTTGCCACTCCGCCTCGTGTGCTAGTATGTTCTTGTCACGTTTTGACGTCCGCTATTATCCAGTATGGTACAGAACTAATACAATATGGAATCTATACATTTTTTTGTTTTTTCTTTTCGATATGATAACAAACCAAATTCTGTTTATTGTGAAGTAATCTATGCGTCTGTCATCTGATATATCAGACATATATCATAAATGAGAACCAAACAAAATGTGTCTATCAATTAAGTTATGATAAAGCCGAGGAGATTATGAAAAGTCAGCAGTCGGCTATGACGTTGCTCGGGAACCAAGTTTATGCTTTTAAGCACTTAGAAGTCATTCCCTTATTAAAAATCTTAAGAAATTGCTTTCATTAATTTGGAAGGTGGCAGAATTGGTTACGATTGCGCTTTTATATAGCGTATCTTACCTTCATTCTTTCCCGAATTCGGATACCAGATCTCGCCGCCATCTGAAACGGTGTTTCCTGGGTGGCGCTCCGCGCGTGGACATTCGCGCCGTGATTACAGAGGACAGCTACCAGTTCAGGGTAACCATATGAGGCAGCAAGGTGAAGCGGAGTGTATTGAGAAAACTGGCTAGGGTTCACATCACATCCTGAATCAAGCAACAACTTGGCGCTGTAGGTGTTTGCTCCCTGGACCGCGTAATGCAGAGCCGTGTAACCATAGTTGTCTTTCTGATCAAGGATCTTTTTACCTTTTGAGCAACTTCTGCACAGTACTTCAAGACTCTTGTAAACGTCGTGAGAAGCGGCTATATGCAAAGCTGTTCTGCCATACAAGTCAACGCTGGGTAGAATCGTGTTACCTGTAGATAACAATTTTTGCAGTAATTCTGTTTTTCCCAACAGCGCTGCATAATGAAACTCAGGCAAGCCTTGAAAATGATTTTGATTTTCTCGAGTTGGGTTCATGTTCGCTTTGTTAAAAACTTCTTGAGAGGATCCTTAATTCTGAACGATCTTAGAGTAAGATGCGGACAACAACGAACAAAAACGTTTTTTTCAACTCCTTCATCTGAAAGTGCCCACGTGATTTTTGCTAACGGTTAAATTTGAAAATTTGATTTTTTTTGGAGCACGAGCGCGCGCGGCACGGAAAAATGATCTTCGTAGGCGCGCGCAATTGTCGGCCTGATTCTCTTCATACCGCATTTCGCTTTTCTTCAGTGTGTCTCCTTGCACTTCACACGCAACTTTGCGTAATTGTTGGAGCCCATTGCATGTTTTGGTAATGCATGGTGTAAAAATAAAACAACCTCAGAATCAGACAGTTTATAGCGTTTGGTTTCCTCTTGTCTTCTTCTGATCTCTCTAAATCGTCAAAAAAATCCACAGATTGCTATTAATCCAAAAATGAATTTAAAACAATGGAACTCTGAGCGTTCGCCTGAGAATTAGATGGTCTAAATTTCCAATCTTACTAAAGGGCTAACGCTCGAAACGTCAGCTTTTTTATTCGTTACGGTGGCCAAGTTACTATTTCAACTTAGTTGATATAACTAATTACTTTGTTACCCCCACCGACGCAGCACCACAGTTTCTTTAGAAACTTTCAGCCTTTGTTTATTGTAGACCTCTGTGAAAGCAGCATCTGCTCTGCGCGATAGTGCGACTGTTCAGCTCGCACTATCGCTCCATTTTCTACTATTCTCGTAGAAAATGGAGCTGCAATTAAAAATTTCAACGGGAAATTAAGTGCGAAACATGGCTTTCGTTTCAAGTGTAGTTCGCAACAACGAGTTAGCGAAGAGTGTCGTTAGATGCTGACCGCTAATTATAAATTTTGGAGTTATTTGCTGCAGTTATCATTAATTTCACCAGTTTGTGGACCGAGAAATGTTTGAAATTTCGAGATGCGTCGAAGGTAAGCTGTATGACAAGATCGGCTCTAGGTGTTCGATTTCGGTGTAGGCGAAAAAATCACAAATGCTCGAAGATGTGCTGATTCAAACGTTCGTAACTTTTGAAGTCGAAAACGTACGGGGAATTTTGCATGTGTTTGTCTTTAAAGGTATAAACTTACCGGCTGTATAGGACAGAGTTGTCAACCAGGTCCCAAATCCCAAAACGTAACGTCTAGGAAGGTTTTTAAGCAATCTGATACAGATTTGTGGCTTAACTATGCCAATCAAATATTTTACAATGTTACAAAAATATGCCTGATTTTCAATACTCGAGACGTTACGACGGTCCCTACGGACTGGGCAAGTAACTATGGCCCCTAAAACAGTCAGAAAATTATTTCGAATTAAACCAAATCTAAATTAGCTCTTTCCTAAGTCTACTCTTTCTGTTGACAGAGTTTCGAGCAAAATTACTATTGACGCGAAATTTATCTGGTGAAATGAGAGAGACAGCCCCTTAAGATTTCTATAGCATTTTAGTGATCACTTCCTCAATTTATAACTGATGCTGAGTTATACCAATATTCAATCACTTTTCAACAAAAAAGATGGAAAGCCAAATTAAAAATAATTCAAGATCTATCATTATCGCCTAGATAATTAATTGTCGTCATCATAAATCAGCCTCATCAGTGGATTTTCTCAAGATGACAGATATTTACTTTCCACCCATTCTTCCAGCCACGAGTTCTTCTTGGTGTGAGGATCTGTGAAGATTCGTCTGTTAACTCCTCAGTCTACATAAGTAGTCTTTAATCCAACGGGTCAGCAGCCTATGGCGCAACGATTACCTGTGCATGTTTGTCAACATTAGTGTAAGTATCAGAGAAATTTATTTTGTGAAATCCTTCGACGAGATGATTTTTTTTTTCCAAGGGATCCGTAATTTTTCTAAGACGTAAGAATGAAATCTAACTTGAGATGGCAATCGCCATCACAGCCTTCGCTGGTCTATTTACCGATTCTCTAAACATAGAATTATAAGTTATTATTTCAGTCAAGAAAGGAAGGTAGTTACGGTCAAACCCTAACATTCTGATCACTAGTTTGGCCGCCACAGATCTTTCAGCAGGGGCAATTTCAAACCCACTGACCATCACTTTAACTGTTCAAGTTGTATTCGAACTGACATGAATAAACCGTATATGAATTATCTAGCTTGACTTGAACAGGAAATCACCCTATGAGTAAAGGGTCTAGTTCACGGAATTACCTCCAAACACCAAGAAGAGGGATTTTTGTGATATTTTTAATGCTTGAAACAAATCTCGTTAGTGCTGAGTAATATACGTTCTACAAGTATATTATGCGACTGAAAAATAAGCTGGAGAGCTCGATCCAGACTCATATCTCCTATAATTGACAATCCTTTTGTCAAACTTAATGTACAGACACAATATGAAACTTTTCCAGTGTTCTCCAAATCACCATTTAAGTTATTTAGCCGGAAAATTGAAAGGATATGCGGTCTATTCCTTTTCAAACTGTTTCAATTTTCTAAGGATTTACCGGTACAATAAATAATAGGATTTTGATCAGTCACCGTACTCAGTTACTTTATAAAAGCTGATGAATCACTAAATACAGTCGGTTTCCCAGGTGTTCGAAGCGTGAACAGATGTTCGTAGACGTCGGAAGCTTTAGATGTAGATTTTGTTCAAAAAATTAAATATATGCGAAGGTTTTTAGTGGTCGGCTCCTCAATTATTTCCGTCACTGAATTAAAAAACCAAAATCCAGCCACTCTTTTTAAAAAAACAAAACACTAAAAGCTACCTCAGATCTGTCATCATCACCTAGATAAGTAGCTCGCTCATCGTATCATCGTCGCTAACCAGTCTCTTGAAAAAAGTTTTTCAAGACAAAAAGCACTTATTTCTAAACCATCCTCGCTAGAGACGAGTTGTTCGGGATGCAGTGAAACGAGCATTGCACAGC